AGAGAGAGAGAGAGAGAGAGAGAGAGAGAGAGAGAGAGAGAGAGAGATTCCAAAGATACCATCAAGTTTGTTTTGTGTTGGCCAGTTACTGGGAATGGAATATTATTCAATGCCCTTTGTAAATAAATACCTGTCCTTTAAGTGCTTTAATATATTCCCTGAGTTTTTGGGTTTTACATGTATCTAGTAACTTGTGACTTTTAAAGATTCATAGTGTATAATTTATTTTTTTAGTTTTTGTTGTTTATAAAGAGGTGTGTGTGTGTGTGTGTGTGTGTGTGTGTGTGTGTGTGAGAGAGAGAGAGAGAGAGAGAGAGAGAGAGCATGCGCTCTGCCCTCTCCTGGCTTAGCTGCCAGCCCCTCCTTGCTTTTCTTTTGTTCTTCTCAGCATAGCTTCACCAAGCCATTACTGACCCACCTTCTCTCTCTCCCCATCTTTGCTCTGTGGAATAAAAAACACTCAGACAGTTTTATTACTTTAGAGTTTGCCTACTAGCATAATTGCTGGGCATAGAATCTCTTGCCCTGAACCTATCAGCTAGCTTCTATCAGCCTGCCTCCACCAACTTCCTTGGCTATCCACGGTGTTGGAGGCCGCTGGTTCTAGCTCCCTAGAGATCTACATAATAGCTGCATGCTTCTCATTCCTAAGCCTGACCAAAACCCTCTTCTTTTTCCTCTGTCTCCTTTTCCTACTGGGACCCTGAAGTCCCACCTGTCCCTTCCACCCAGCAATTGGCTCCTGGCCTTCTTTATTGACCAAATCAAGAACCAAATATCGGGGCTAGAGAGATAGTTCAGCAGTTAAGAGCACTGACTGCTCTTCCAGAGGTCCTGAGTTCAATTCCCAGCAACCACATGGTGGCTCACAACCATCTGTAATGGGATCTGATGCCTTCTTCTGCTGTGTCTGAAGACAGCTACAATGTACTCATATAAATAAAATAAATAAATCTTAAAAAAAAAAAAGAACCAATTAGTAGCGTCTTCTACTAGAGGGGTATGGGTATGGCAAAAAGAGCACCAGATCACACTTGGAGTTACAGATGGCTGTGAGCCACCCAATCTGGGTGCTGGGAATCAAACTCAGGTCCTCTGGAAGAACAACAGTCATTCTTAACCTCTGAGCCATTTCTCCATCCTCAAATACAATATAGCCGAATCCAGATACTATCGATGAATTGTTTGCTTGTTTTAGATAGGATCTCATTGAGTAGACTAGGCTGACCTCAAACTCAAATCTGTCTGCCTCTGCCCTCCCTATGCTGGGACTAAGAATGTGTACAACCTTGCCTGACTTCCATCTTTTGTTGTTGTTGTTGTTGGGTTTTTTTTTTATGTGCATTGGTGTTTTGTCTACATGTATTATGTCTGTGTGAGGGTATCAGATCTTGTGTTGGATAGATGTGAGCTGTCACATGGGTAGGATTTGAACCTAGTAAACCCAAAACTAGAAGAGCAGTCAATGCTTTTAACTGCCTAGTCATCTCTCCATAGTGTACCCTCATGTTTTCTTTTTTCAGACAAGGTCTATAGTGTCAGCTATTTTTAACTCCTTATGCAGTTGAAGATGACTTTGAACTTCAGATCCTTCTGATCCAGGGTTCTATGTATGCCAAGCAAGCAACCTACCTACTCAGTTACATCTTAAGGCCATGATTTATCTTCAGTGCAGGATAGGACTTTCCTGAAAAGCCTATTTTATAATTATGGATGGAAAGTAACAGTGTGGAACAGATCTTATCTGTGACGCTGGAGGCTTGAGTCACAAATACTCTTGCCCAATGTTCTAATTCCCTAGACCTCTGGGTTTTCAAATTGAATTCTGTAGACTCTTAAGATCAGAAAGAGGTTAGATTAGAATTTCAAACTTGAACTGTGAGTTAGACCGCAATGTGAACTTTCAAATGTGTTAGTGTTACATGGGGATGTGTTACATGGGGATGTGTTGTTACATGGGGATGTGTTGTTACATGGGGATGTGTTGTTACATGGGGATGTGCTGCTACCAACCAATTGATATTTGCCCTGTAGAGTAATTCATTTTGTTCACGCCTCAGAAAAAGTCATCCTCTGTCATCTGTTCAACTGAAGAA